TTTGAGAGCCACGTGCTGTGGCAATGAGCTGACATTTCCTCCCGAGCTTTCCGAGACCCCTCACCATCAGGTCCTCTCTTGCTCCGCCCCGGCTCCCCATCGTTGGCTCACTTCTGCCCACCACACACGCGCCTAGCCCGCCGGCCCCCTCTGGGAATGCCCTCTCGCCTCCTCTCCCTGCGGCCAGGCCTCACCCCCTTTTCAAAGCTCGCTCTTTCTGTCCAGACTGGGCAAAGCCCTGCTTGGTGCCACGCTCCGGCCCAGCCCTTGCAGGGATCCGAGTCCCCGCAGAGATAGAGACGGGGTGATAGATTCTGCCTCTAATCATCACAGCACAGACGCACGGAGGGCTACAGGTGGGTGCCGGGCCATAGGAAGTCACTTAGGCCTCACAAGAATCCTGCCAGCAGTTTTTACGGTCGTTTTCGTTTCACACACAGATAAGCCCAAGTGCAGAGAGTCTTGTCCAAGGTCACGAGCCAATGATGGGTGGCGCTGGGCTTTGAACCCAGGTGCTCCGGCTACAGAGCTCGCTTTCTTAACCACCATGTGCTAAGAACGGATAGAAGCAGCGTTGGGAGTCCAGAGGGGGAAGTGATGAACGCGCCCAGGGGTCAAGGGAGGCTCAGGAAGGTGCCGGCCGGCAAGGGTAGGGGTGGTTCTAGGCTGACAGAACAGCATGAAGATAGCCCAGCGGTGAGGGCACCAGGCCGCGTCTGCAGAGGGCAGCTCTTCGGGGTGCTGGGCTGTGATGGGGGGGGGGCACCACGGGGAGACTGCTGGCTCAGCAGGGCCTGGAATCCCTCACCGAGAAGACTGGGTTTGGTTCTGTGGGTGGCCGGGGGTGGAAGGGCTGTCCTCATGGGCATGACAAGGTCAAGTGCCTGGCTACTCTCTTGGGGGCGTGGAGGGAGGGGCCGCGGAGCCAGGGAGGGGGCAGGGCCTGGCCGGATGCACCCGGGCAGTGGTCCTTTCTCTCCCCAGCTCCTCCACTCACTCTGGAATTTGGGGCAAGGGACTGGATCTCCGAGATTCAGTTTCCTCCTTTGTAAAATAGAGATGGAAGCCGTTCCTGCCTCCCAGGGTTGCTGGAGGCTTGCACAACATATGGCAGATAAACACGCCCAGCACAGCCTGGCGTTGGCGGGTGCCCAGAAGGGCAGTGCTCGTGTGTCACTAAGGGTCCCAGGGAGTCCTCCCTGAGAAAGGATGTGGGAGGTCGGGACCCCGGTCTTCCTTGGAACACAGCCCAGTCTCCTCCAGGCCAAGCAGCCTGATACTCACCACCACCTCCAGGTCGGAGTTCAAGTGCCGCTGGGTATCTGACATCTGCACCAGGATCTCCCCTGGAGGCAGGGGGAGCAGCAGCTTCAGTGGGGCGGCCGGCCCCGCCCACCCCTCCTCCTGCTAGAAGCTGCTACAGGGGGCTGCCAGAGGCTGGATTTGGGGACCAAAGTCCAGGGAGTTCCCAGATGGCTCTGGGAGGGTGGCAGTGCCTGTCCCAGCCCCGGAACAGCCCTGCAGGGAGTGGTGGGGAGGGGCTTGGGCTCCAAGGAGTCTGGGCCGTGGCCGCAAGGCCTGCGTCTTGGGGAGATTTCCTGGAAGGGCAAGAACATAGCGGGCACGCTCCCCGCGATCTCAGGACGGTGGGCAAGGCAGGCCTCGGGCCTGAGGGATGGCAGGAGGGAGACAGAGGGGCCTGGACGGCAGGAGGAGGCCTGGGGTGGAGGCAGGGCTAGGAGGAGAGCACCCCCAGGCCCAAGCGAGAGTGGGGGGTGTAGTGGGAGGGGGAGCGCCTCACCCAGAATCTGCGAGGTGGAGCTCTTCAAGGCCTGCTCCCCGATCTTCTGGATGGCGTTGAAGTATACCTCAGCCGCCTCGGAGAGAGCTGCGTGGGGATGGGGGATGGGTCCGGATCCAGCCCCCCCCCCCCCCCGCCCCCCGATCTCCATCCTCTAGAGACCTCTCCTGACAGGGCACGTGGAGGGGACACTGTGGGGTCTGCCACAGGCGTCCGTGACAGGGAGGGGTGTCCTGGGTGGTGCGTGAGGACAGGTGGCGTCGGCCAGGGGAGAAAGCGGGTGTGGAGTGGGGGGTGGGCTTCCCCCCCACCCCCCGCGGAGGCAGGGCCCAGGGTGGATGCACCGAGCACAGGGATCGCTGCTGAGCCGGACATCCGGGGGTTTGTCATGGGCAGGGGCGTAGGCACCTGCATGTACCCGTGTGGAAGACGTGTTCTGATGCGCAGGGTAGGGGTGGGCTGAGGTTGCTCGGCGGCGGGGGGGGGGCGGGGGGCACCACCCCCGCCCCCGCGGCGGCGGGGGGGGGGGGGGGAAGCAGGCTTTGACTCTGAGGTCCGAAAGGGCAGGGAGGGCTTGGGTGTAGCAGCGGGCTCCATGGATAGCATCAAGGCGACCTATAGCATCACTGTGTGTGTGGCTGGGGCTGTGTCGGCCACCAGGGCCTGGCTCTGCGTCTCTGGGAGCATCCTGAGGGCACTTAAGAAGTGAGCAGAGGAGGGTGTGGGGGTGTGTGGGGGAGGGTGGTGGACAGGAGTGTGTAGGGCTGAGCCTGAGCTGAGTGTGTGCTGTGGGGTGCAGAGAATATGGGTGGGGACACCAGTGCACGGAGGGACCGGGTGGGTGCGGGCAGTGACGGCCGAGGGGCTGGGTGCCCTGGGCTGGGCACTTACCGTGGAAGGCCCGGAGGTAGTTGTTCCCGAGGTACACCAGGTTCTCCAGGGCAGGGTTAAACTGCTCCATGATACTCTGGAGCCGGAGGGCAAGGGGTGATGGGGGATAGATTGGAAGAGGAAGAAACGTTGATGGGCAGGGAGGCAAGTCACTGGGCCTCAGAAGCAGGGCACCCCCGGACCCAGAGAGAAGCCCGACCCTAGGGGAACCCATCTAGAAATGCAGAGTCACCCAGGATCCTGACTCTGCTGCAGGGGCCTTGGAGGCCATCTCTTGGGCTCACACGCCTGCCCTGGCAGGAACTTGTTCCCAGGACAATGCGCCTGGAAGGTTCTCCTCCTCCCACTGGGTTGAAGGCTGTGGTCCATTGTGGGCCCCCAGCTGGGTGTGGCTCAACCCTGCCCTGGGTCCAGGCCCCGCTGGGCTGAACACACAGGCGGCCGACAGTCACCTCAGAGGCAAGGGCAGATCTTGCCCTTCCCAAAGAAGAGCCCCTCGGGAGCAAGGCTGTGGCTGGGTCATAGGCCACCTCAGGCCATGGCTGGCAGGAGAGTACCCTCCATGGTGGAAAGGACGCTGGGCATGGACTTAAGACTTGGGTCTTGGTTCAAATCCCAGCAGCCTCTTTGGGATCTCTGGTGACCTTGAACAAGCTGTTTAACCCTGCTGGCCTCGGTTTTCTCATCTATCATTTGGGGTGATTATTTTCTATCCTACAGGCAGGGTGCCATGAGGCTTATCTGTGAAAGGGTCTTGTACACAGTAGGTGCTCAATAAAAGTCTATGCAGACTACAGTAACCTCTCTGGAGTGAAGCAGAAAATTTGAGTGAGGGGTTCAGAAAGGAGAGACAGACAGAGACGGGAAGATAGAGACAGACAGAGAGGGACTCTCCAGTCGTGGGCCAGGTGGCTCTCCGGCCCCCCTATCCCACCTCTGGCCACCCTGGGTCCTCTGTCCTGCCTTGTCCGGCATCTAGGAGTGCTGTCTCAGCAGGCCTGTCGCTCCCTGGGTAACTGTGTGGACAAACCCCCGCCCTGCGAGCCTCAGGTTGGGGCTGGGGTGGGGGCCTTCGGTCTGCATGTGCCCAGACCCTGATGGCCGGTGGGCTGCGTCTGGGGAAGAGGTGAGAAGGCTGGCTGCGCCCAGGGATCCCCATGTCATGCGCACAAGCCAGACTGGTTCACAGACCACGCTGCGCCCACGCACACCCTCCACCCTCCAGCCCTGGGAACGGATGTTCGGGCCCCGGGCCCCCAGCCACACACACACGCTCACCTTGTAGATGGCCATGGTGGACCTGTAGAACTGGTCCATCTCGGGGGCCATGGAGTGGGCTTCGACCCAGGTGCTGAGCAGGAGGCTGGGGGTGCTGGCAGGGTCGGGAGCGCCGAGGGTCAGTCCCCTCCAGTGCCCACTGCTCTAAGGGAGTGAAGAATCCTGCAGAGTAGCACGGAGGTGAGGGCCTGCCGGCGGTGGCCGGGGAGGTGGCAGCTTAATTATTCACCAGCCAGGGATGTCAGAATGTGATCTGGGGCGTAACCAGACCCGGGGGGAAGGCATCCTGTGACGCGGGCAGGTTCGTGTGACCTGCCCTTCAATTATTTACCCCTGTGAGCCGTGGGCTGGTGGGCACGCGTGGATGGGCCATTCTCTTAGGTCACCTCCTCCTCCAGGCCGAGCTTTCCCCAGGCCCCGCAGGGACCCCTGGCTATGGGGGGACCCCCGCCCTCCCGCCTGCCCACATTGGGCCCTGTCCAAGTTAGAGGGGCCGGAGCTGCGGGGGTGCCCTCCCCCAGAACCCTCCCCGACAGACCCAGCCCCTGAGGCCAAACGTACCACTGGGCATCGCCGTTCTCTGGCCTCTTCTCTACCCCAAGCCGCTCACACCCGCACTTCAAGGGCTGAGGATCCCACATCTGCCAAAGCCCGCCCAGACCCTCTCATGCTGGAGAGGCGGTACCACAAGCCCCAGAGCCACACAGACCCGGGCCAGACCTTGTCCCTCCGCACTGGCCGTGTGACCGTGCCCAAGCCCCCTGCCCTTTCTGGGTCTCATCCCCTGCCTGCCCCGGCAACTGGGGCTCGTCCTCACCCCCCACCGTGGGCAAGTGGACTTAGCTGCCGCCTCTGAACACCCTCACGGCCTGATTTGGGGGGGCCTGGAGCAGAGAAGTAGTATCCCCAGGGGAGCCCGGGAAACAGCATTCATCCAAGGGGGCACAGGAAGAGGACAGTCAAGGCTGAAGGGAGCTGGTGGGTGCAGGGCCCTGGGGGACTCTGAGCACAGTGCACACAACACAGGTGGGCTTGAATCAAACCGTTTATTTCAGTTAAGGGCAGGCTCTGGATCCCCGCCCCACCCATCAACCACCTCGGGTCGGGAGGAATAACCGAAGTCACAGAAGTGACCTTTGAGAGCTGAGGGGAGCTCGCAGGGTGGGGCAGTTCCGAGGGGTGCAGGCGGCTGCATGTGTGTTGAGGGCAGAGTCGGCGGGGCTTGGGTTTCCCCTGCTGATGGGGGGGGGGGGCAAAGGCCTGTTTCCCCAAGCCCCCCACCCCAGGGAAGAGGACAGAGAGTGGAAGGGGTCTTGGCATCCCCCCTTCGCCAGGGGACCTGGGAGAACGCCTGGTGTCTGAGCTAACAGGGCTGGGGGCCCAAGCGTCAGTTGTCCTTGGCCATCAGGGAGAGGGCCCCAGTGAGGCTCTAGGATTTCTAAGCGTGGAATGACAAAAAGTGCCAGAAGGCGGGGACAGTGTGGGCAGGACTCAGGACCAGCCTCAGGCAGGAAGCCCAGTGCCCTCTGAGGCCTGGTCTGTCTGGTCTGGAGATGCAGAGCCGCCGAGGCCCAGCTCTGCCCAGTGGCGCGCTGGTTAGATGTCACCTGGCCTCTCCATCAAGGGCTGGGTGGGTGGGATGGGGTGGCGGGGGGTGCCCAGTGGCCTCACGGTGACAGCAGCAGCTGAATGAGCTTCTGGAACTGTTCTCGGTGCTCATAAATATAGACCTCAGTCTCCCACAGGGCATTAACCAGCACTGTGTCGCTGACCTCATCCAGCATGATGTCAGTCCCCAGCTGAGGGTTCAATCTGTCCGGGTCAAGGAGGAGGGGGTCACCCCACGAGGCTCGGCTTGGGTTGGGGATGAGAGCTAGGACTGGGGAGGGCTTGGGGCACGGAGTGGCCGCGTGGGGAGAGGGGACATCCACACCAAGGGCTGGGTGGGTTAGTTCACTGGGTCTGGCCAGGCTGGGACACGGGGCTGGGCCTAGGGTCAGGAGCCGAAGCTGAGGCCTCACCTGAAGTACTGGATGCCGACCATCTCACACCAGGCCCGGGCCCGGTCCACGGCCCGCCCATCCGGATCCGTGCACTGGCAAGAAGCAGTCTGTGTGAGCGTCCTACACAAGCTGTACCCACAGCGTCTGCCCAGGGACCCCCAGGTTCTAGTCTGGCTTAGCCGCTCCTCGGCAGAGTCCCCCTGCCTGGGCCGCAGTGACTGTCCCAGCTGTGTCACACAGGGGCGCGGTCTGAGGTTTTCTCAGGTGGTTCAGCAGCCCCTGACCAGGTTCAGGGGGACAGGCTTTTGTCCGTCTGATATCCTGGGCTTCCGCACGGGGCTGTGTTTGAAGGGGGGCTGTGTTTGAAAGCCCCAGGTGTAGGTGGCCACTAAGGGTCCCTGCCAGCACTGAGAATGAATCAGGAACCCCCTCCCCTGGGCTGGCTAAAGAGGTTCAATGGAGCCTCCCTGACGCCCCGGGTCCCAGGGGGCTGAGATCCAGAGGGGAGAGGACATGGGGAGGGGCCCATACTCACACAGTCCACCACCATCTTGCCCAGTTCCTTGGCCCCAAAAACAGTCTTGGCCAGTTCCCAGGGGTTGCTGGGACGGAACACGTCCACACAGGTCACGGGCACCTGTGGGGACCTCCCTGTCCCCAGAGAGACCACGATGGAGAGCTTCTTCACCTTGCCTTCCTGGCCCTGTTGGGGACAGGACAGGGGTAGTTGGAGGGGATCTGCCCACCGGCGGACCCTTCCCCAGGTGGCAGAACCAAAGCCTGTGCTGTCCTCTCTTCTGCTCCCCAACAAGCTCCGCTTCCAACATGCTGGGCAACCTTGACAAGTCTCCCCGCCGTCCAAGGTCCTCATCTGCAGTAGGAGGCGACTCAGACAGAGGATGACCCATGACCCTCCCCATCCAAATCTTTGAGCCCTTCCTCCTCCAAGGAAGCCTGCCCTGCCCGGTCTGGCCGCTAGAGGGCGCCTGCCTCTCGGACCGCCACCCCTGTTGTGTCACCCAGGGTCTGCGCCCTGGGCTTCCTGATGACCACAGTGAGAACCACAGCCGGCAAGGATATGGCACACTAGGGGTCAGGCACCGTCCTAAACATTTTACACAAAAGCACACGGACGCCTCATGACAGTCCCCATGGCGGTACCACCCATCCCCCGTGCAGTGGCTGGAGCGAAGCACAGGCAGAGCCAGCGCCCAGACCCTGAGGCCATCTGGCTCCGAGGCCTGAGCCCACGTCTCAGCACCTCTGCTGGTAACACACGGGCCTAGCCCCGCCTCTGCGCTAAGGGCTAAGGCCCACTTCTGTTCCTCTGGGTCACGGACTCTGCACGGTCTCCTCCCTAGAGGTCTCCTCCACGGGCCCTTTGCAAGCCCCCAGGTCTCCCAGCACAGGCTATCCTCCTCCTGGGCTCCTGCGTGGTCCGCTATCTCAGCACCCCAAACCCCTGGAGGGGCGTATCCTTGTTTATAGATAGCCCTGCTTACACAGGGCAAGCGCGTGTCCCCAGGCTGGGCAGGGTAGCCAGCACCACAGCAGGCATGGACCACTCTGCCTGCTGCCCACTAGCCGCCCTTCACCATTCGGTGCAGATTGGGCCTCAGAATCCCTCTGATTAGCACAGAGCTCTGGGCAGACACGGCCCATCAAGCAAGTTTGAGCGTGAGATAAAGCTGCTGCCCAGGGCACCCACGAATGAGCACGAAAATAAGTGCCATCTGGTCTCCTAGGAGTCCGTCCTTAGTAAGATTTGCTGAAACAGGGGTGGCTACGGTGGACGGTCACGTCCAGCCCCTCTGACCCACGGCGCTCTCACCTTGCGGATCATGTCCTGGTTGTACTCATGGATCTCCGTCATGGCGTCCAGCGTGGGATTGTTGGCCAGCAGCCCGCCGTCCAGGAAGCGCCCGTTGGGCCGGAAGTAGGTGGGGGCCGCCCCACTGCTCCGGGCAGCTCGCCACACCAGCTGCTCTGGGGGTGAGGGAAGAGGGTGGCCCAGTGGCACGAGGGACCGGTACAAACCCATGCAGTCCCAGGGTGCACGTGCCTGTGCGTGTGCGGGTCTGTAGGGAGAGGTGGAGAGCCTGGGGACTCTTCTGAAGCAGGACCCACAGGCCATGCTCTCTGGCCCCGCCGTCCTGGTGGAAGGCAGGGTGCAGCTGAGGACCTCCAGGGGCCTCCTCCAGCCTGAGACTGGAGAGCGCCCCGGTGCGGCCTGGCCTCAGCCGATAAAGACTCAGGGCAGTGTGAGGGATGGTGGTGGGCTGGGGGTGCCCAGCAGCAAGCCTACGACTCCCACCCACCACCCCGCGGCCTCTCGGGCCGACTGTTTCCCACGGATGCAGCCAACATGGTTTTCACCTGAGGGCTGAGTCGGAGGCTTCAGGTTAATATTCTGGCTGAAACGAGGTTCCCGTACACACTCCGGAGCCTCGTAATTCCGGAAGAGGTGAAGCTCAGCAGGCTGCCGGTCAGACAGCGTCCCCGTCAGCATCACCCTGGAGAGACACGAAGGGCAAGACGGCTGAAGTCCCTGACTTACCCACCCCTGAAAACCCACGTTGGCCGTCTGCATCCGAATCACCGAAGGCCTTATCCTTGGACCCATGGGTCCTAGTTCTGGGAGTTCATCCTAAGACATTCTCACGGACACACGCAAAGCTGTCAACAGCGGCATCGGTGGACAGAGTAAACCACTGGAAGCAGCTGAAAGGTCCACCAACGGGATGGTCCGATGCATCGCGGCTCCCCTGCTCCGTGGGGTCTGTGTCACTACAGAATGACTGAGGAAGCACTTGATGCACTGATAGGCCGTGAGCATCAAGGTTGACAGTTAAGTGCGAAAAGTAAGGGTTAGACCAGTGCGCGTCCTATGCCACCATTTATTTGAAAACAAAACCCCCAAAATTGATGTGCCTATTGGCTTGGTCAGAAGGACCCATGAGCGGAACCTAGGAGTGATGAGCTGCCTCTAGGGCAGGGGACAGCTCGGTGGCTACAGCTCACAGACAGCAGTGGGAGGAGACTTCTCACCGTGTCACCTTTGATAACCTCTTCAACGTTCCACCGTGTGAGTCTATAATCTATTAAAGACTCTTACTTGTCTCAGACAAGACAAGCATCCTTAAATAGTGCAGGGAGTGCGGACTGGCATAGCCCCCTGGGAAGCTAATGTGTACTAAGATCTTACAAATATCCTGGCTCTTTGATCTGAGAATTCCATTTTGGAAAATCTATCCCAAAGGAATAATCTGAGCTACAGTAAGAGCTTCTTGCAAAAAGCTACTGGTTGTAGTGTAATTATTACAGTAAAAAATGGCCCGGTCTGAGGCACCTGGCTGGCTCAGCCGGAGGACCGTGCAGCTTTTGATCTCAGGGTCATGAGTTCGAGCCCCATGTTGGGCATAGTGATTACTAAAAAAAAATAAATAAACTTGGGCGCCTGGGTGGCTCAGTCGGTTGAGCGTCCGACTTCGGCTCAGGTCATAATCTCACAGTCAGTGAGTTCGAGCCCCGTATCGGGCTCTGTGTTGATGGCTCGGAGCCTGGAGCCTGCTTCCGATTCTGTGTCTCCCTCTCTCTCTGCCCCTTCCCTGCTCATGCTCTGTCTCTCTCTGTCTCAAAAATAAATGAAAACATTAAGAAAAAAAATAAAAAAAAAATAAACTTAAAAAAAATAAACAGTAGCAAGAGAAGGGGTAAGTAAATGTTTTGCACCCACTCCAAATCGTGCCAGCCGACTAACAAAGAAATACGTTTGTTATGCTGTAAAAACAACCACAACAACACACAGGAAAGGGAACAAAAACTCTGCCTCTGCATAGGAAAAATATACTAGTTTTTCATTTCTGGGAATACTGTGGAAAGCTTATTTGAACAACCTCCCCACTGAACAAAAAGTGAAATGCTGGAAAAATTACTTTTAAAAATCTCCTTAGGGGTTCCTGGGTGGCTCAGTTGGCTGAGCATCTGACTTCGACTCAGGTCATGATCTTGCCGCTCCCGGGTTCAAGCCCTGCATTGGGCTGTCTGTTGTCAGCACGGAGCCCACTTTAGATCCTCTGTCCCTGCCTCTCTGTCCCTCCCCATGCTCTCTCTCTCAAAAATAAACATTAAAAAAAAAGAGTAAAAATAAAACACAGGAGACCTGACAAGACAGAAAGGAAATACCAGGGTAAGCTCTGAGGATAAGCAAAAATCCAGAGAGGTAAGTGAAGCATAGACCTAGGTTTGACCTGAGGCAGATACCAAACTCAGTACATTTGAGTTTCAGTTTTGATGGCTTCATGGGACTTGGGAGACAAAAGTCAAAGCCCAGGGCCCACCAAAATTTCAGGGTCTAATGGGAGACCCCCACATTAGGCTGGGACCCCAAAGGACTATACTCGTGGGTAGGGGTGAGCCAGAAATAAATCTGCTCCTTTCCCACCCCAGAGGCTGTGAAGAAAGTTGCTTTGGCATTGGATAAAAGAGAGAGAGAGAGAGAGAGAGAGAGAGAGAGAGAGAGAGAGAGAGAATTCCTGAAAATGTATAACCACAAGCTAACCCTCCTGCAGATTTGTGGTCTAAATTCATATCACCTCGGGGAAGTCCCCAAACTTTATGTCAAGAATTTAGTTATAGTGGCATTAGATGGTAGGGTACCTAGTACCTGGAAGAGACAACACAAAACAATCTGGAGGGAGATACTTGCATTCTAGGCCTCATAGAATCTAGTCATATTATATTTCAACACTAAGGAACACCACACAGTAAAAAAGGGAGGGGAGGACACACAATGAAATAAAACATCATAAATGAAAACCAGTATAAACCAACATAAACAGTAAAATATACCTATAAAGACTGCAGATATTTGAGTCCTTGAACACAGATTATAAAACAGCTATGCCTACAATATTTAAAGACATCAAAGGCAAGTGTGATAAAATCACCAAGGAATAGGAAACTATCAGTAATGACCCAGAAGAACTGAAGAAGAACCAAAGAGAACTTCTAGAATTAAAAAATAAAAAAGCAATAGAATTTTAAAAAATCAATGGATAGGTTAAATGGAAAATTAGATAAAGCTACAGAGAGAATTAGTGAATTGGAAAACAGGTAAGAAGAAATTGGGATGTAACACAGAGAGACAGAATGACAGAATATACAGGAGAAATTAATAGAAACAGAAGACAGAAAAGGTCTAGCACATGTTTAATTGTAGTTCCACAAGGAGAGGAGAGAGAAAATTAGGAAGAGGCAAGGGTTGAAGAGATAACAACTCAGGATTCCAGAATTGAAGAAAGGAAACAATCCAAAGATTCAAGCCTAATAAATACCATGCAGGTTAAACTGGAAGTAATTCATATCAGGCAGAAGGAAAGTGGTCACAGATGGAAGTTTGAGATGCAAGAAACACTGTAGAGCAAAGATGTAATACACACACATATGCATACACACACACACACACACATACACACACACAGAGCCAATGGTGTGCAGAAGCCAGCTCATACTGGCTTGTAAGAAACTATTGCTAAATCCCACAAGGTAGTTATTAAATGGTTGGTAACTTGAAATTGGCCATGGTGGGAGTGTTCATGCCATGGGAATTAGCCAACACTATAAATCAGGATATCTTCGCCCCCCCCTTATCTTCCCCCCCCCCGCCGAGATCTGGTTTACCAGCACACTACTGGGTAAGTCTAAAGGGTAAATCTAAATGAAAACCAACTTCAAAGGCTAATAATAATGTCTTCTGATGCTTAAAAAAAACAAGATGGAATTAAATTATTTTAAAATCCTTGATTATCTGAGGGGAGGGTAATGGTGTCAATTAAATTTAGGCTTTCATAAGTAAAGTATTCACTAACAAAAAAAGAAATGAGTTCACAAACTTGAAACTATGGGGGGGGAGGAATATAAAGATCAAAATTATTCAGCAATTCTAAAAGAAGGTAAGAAAGAGAAAAGAAATGGAGAACAAAATAGGATGGCACATATCATCCCAAATATATCAGTAATCATATAAATAAAAATGGACCAGCCATATAAACTATTAGGTTAACCACATGAACTTTCTGATAGTCAAATGAATCAACTAAATCAGACTTAACTAGTTGACTTAAATCAATATATTACTATGCATTTAAAGCCTATAAATGGACTAAATGCTCTAGATAAGAACAAAGAGTAAAAGATTACAAGTAAAAGTACAAAAGATATCTCTAAAACATAAGGATTCAAAGAAGTTTGAATTAGAGGGTGAGTACAGATCTACCACACAAATATAACCAAAGAAGGCTGATGTCACTGTATTAGTATCAGGACAAAACAGGCTTTAAGGCAAAAAGCATTCCTAGAGGTAAAGAGAGCTGCTCCATAATAATAAAAGATCCCAGTCACTAGAAAAATACACAAAAATTTAAATATACATGCACTTAATAGCATTGTGTCAAAATATTAAAAGAAAAATTGACAGCACTAAAGGGCAAAAGGGCAAGTTCCCAGAGTAGGAGATTTCAACATGTGTCTCTCAATAATCGATAAAAGAAGTGGACAAAGAATTCTTAAGGATATGGCAGATTTGGACACTTATTTCATTTTATTTTATTATTATTATTTTTTTTATTTTAGAGAGAGAGTGCACATGTGAGTGGGAAAGAGGGGCAGAGGGAGAGAGAAAGAGAATCTTTTTTTTTTAATGTTTATTTATTTTTGAGACAGAGAGAGACAGAGCATGAACAGGGGAGAGTCAGAGAAAGAGGGAGACACAGAATCCGAAGCAGGCTCCAGGCTCTGAGCTGTCAACACAGAGCCCGATGCGGGGCTCGAACTCACAGACCACAAGATCATGAGCTGAGCCGAAGTCGGACGCTCAACCGACTGAGCCACCCAGGCGCCCCAAGAGAGAGAATCTTAAACAGGCTCCATGCTCAATGTGGAGTCTGACACAGGGACTGATCCCACAACCCTGGGATCATGACCTGAGCCAAAATCAAGAGTCAGACACTCAATCGACTGAGCTACCCAGACGCCCCTGGAAATTTTCAGCAACATTTCTAGCCAATATGACTTGATCGATTTGTGCAGTACTTGGTGCCCAATGCAGAATCCATATTCTTTCAAATTAGATGTGGGACATTTATAAGAATTGACTGTACAAGTAAGTCCACAAAGCAAGTAATAACAAAAATACAACCGGAGAATTCCCTAAGTTTAGAAATTGAGAAATGTAGTTTTAAGAACAGAAGGTTAAAAATCAAGGAGTTAAAAAATAACACTGAAATAAAACCAAAGAGAGTGCAAGGAATAAAAATAAAAGCAGAAATAAATGAAACCAAAAAGCACACACAAGAGAAAACCAATAAATATCCAAGAATTGGTTTTCTGAAGGACCAGTCCAATGGAAAAGCCTGTGACAGAACTGGTAAAGACAAGAGAAGGTGTACATAATTGGGACTCAAGGTCCCATCACAGCAGATGCTGCAGACATTAAAAAGATAGTAAGAGAACA